TACTAGTAGCACTAGCGGTAAGTGTATATAATAGTTGTTTGACAGAATTTGATTATCAGAAAAAAAAAGAATTTGATTATAAAAAAAGTTGTTGGTGATAATACAAATCACTTTAAGAAGGTTGTATATGGTAAAAGACCCTCAACTATACAGACTATCTTTGATAAAATTAACTGATAAGTTAGATGTTTGGTAAAATTAACTGATAAGCTAACTTATAGCTTAATATATGTCATTTTTTTAACTTATAGCTTATGACTTATAGCTAAAAAACTAGCTTATATGATAAAAGTGTTTGATAAAATTAGATGATAAGGTAGCTGAAATAAAATATTCAAAAATAGCTTCTGAGATAAGCTCGAGCTTTTTAAAACAGCTCGCCAAACGAGGCTTATTTGAATACAGAGAACTTATAAGCTAACCAAATAAGCTATAAGCTAGCTTATTTGGCTTACCAAACATAGTCATAAGCAAAAATTTGCACACAACATAAAATACAAATTACGATTTTGATCGAATTTATTTATTATGATATCTAATTTTTGAGAAGTTAATTATTAACTTATTTTATTCAAATGAACTAAATCAAAATTTTCTTATTTCATCAAGAAAAATATTATATAATTAATTTGTTTTGTTCAAATTAAATAAGTAAAAATTTTCTCTATATAAAAAAATCTTGATGAATAAAAATCAAAAGATAGATTTTATGTCGGGTACTTTTAATGGTTCATCCCATTTTTTTTATCACTTTCATAAAACTAATTATCAGTAAGTCTAATATAATATTTAATTCCACAAACTTTTTTCCTAACATATATGGATAGTATGAACGAAGATTGGTGAAAAGATCTATCTATTTATATATCCATATTATATATATATAGGAGTAGATCAAATAAGTTCACTACTTGAAATGAGTACATGAAACTTGTTGATATCCAATTTGGCTCCGATTAATTAAATAATAAATAAAATAATAAAATACGGCCCGACAACCAAGGAGCCGAAAATATGTAATAAACGAATGTACAAGCAGGTCCTCAAGACAGGTCAACCAAAAGCCGATCGGATCCCTAGATGTCGTGTCCGCCCACTACCGATTTGGACAGAGTTTAAAATAATCGCATGGCCCACGTATCAGGAAAAAGCCGCCGTCAGGAAACGCGACAATTACCGAGAAGATAGACTTCGATTAGAACCATCAAAAGTCATAAATGTAAGAGTAGGGTACCCGGCGTTCCAATCTAATTGGACGTATTCTACTTGTAAATACAGTCTATTGGAATTACATTATGAATAAGGCATTTCTTTATCTTAAGAGAAAGCATTTATCTTATAATTGCACTTAAGATAAAATCCCTAGATCACTTATGGTTATAAGGTATGGTTGCGCATAGAGATGGTGATCATGGAACATACCTTGAAAGCCGTGATCTTAAATACAGTTCCAAGTCGATGGATGTTTCGAGATGGGATATCGAATAATCCATAAAAGACTTGCACATAGTTTGTATGCTTGTTGGACAAGAATGTTGCATTCCATCAACATTAGCGTAAGACGTAAGTACATTTATGTGGGTGCTTGTTAGAGAACAAGTTCACTGAACATGACCGTATGAAAATTCTTAATGAAGAATTTATTCAGTCGAATAAGAATTTTCATGTTACAATAGTACATGACTAATCCTAAGACTTGAGGCACAATGGTAACTTTGTGCATATTACATTCTACTTTGATTTATCCTTTTGGTAGCTAGCACTATCGTTTAAAGGGATAAGTTGGGTATTATGTTAATATGTATGGAAGTTTGTTAGTGGCCAATAAAGGATTCGACACTTATGAAGATAAGTGAATTTCCTATGTGTTTCATAGTTATTAATCCAAAGTCCTTGGCCAAGGCAGAGATGAATAGTGATTCATAACCGGGTTAATAAACATGAAATAGAATCATAGTTATTAAGTCAATTTGGGTTTCGACAAAATCATACCCAAGACTTAATCGGGAAATTAGATGTCGAAAGGATTTTACATGTATGGAGTTGTAATCGGAATAGGTTTACTCGCTATTCACTTAATACTAGATTCATGCTACTTGCTAGGTGTTACCATGATATGTGGGTTCATAAATTAAAGGGTTAATTCATGAATAAGAGTTAATAAGATTTAACTCAAATTACAAAGTGTTGTAAACCCACTACTAGTATTAAGGTGAACCTAAAAGGTCACACTAATTATGAACAAAGGTAAAGATTGTATTTCTAATGGTTAGAATTAATTGATAAATATCTAATTTGATTAGATATCAATTAAAGGAATATATTAATCAATAAGATTGATTAATTACATTTTGGATATTACTTTAGTAATTAAGGTAATTACTAAATTAATAAAGTTGAATTTTAAAATAGGATTTTAAATTTCAAATCCAAAATAATAATAATATGATTATTATAATATGGATGAAAATTGGGAAATGAATATAATAATAAAGTCTTGGAATAGATTCTCAAGATTTATTATTATATTATTATTTTTATCTTTAAATATGATTTAAGGATTAAAATAATAAAATGAATATAATAAATGGTTGTTAGATGGTTGTTTGAACTACTTAACATTGTTTATTATATATAAAGTCAATAGTTAGTAATATGATTTTTAAATAAAATCAGATTTTATTTAATATTACTAAATATTGATTATTTTATGCTAAAATGTTTAGTATAAATAGATGCAAAATGTTTGCAAATTATGCTAAGTGATTTTGTGAGAAATTCAAAGAGAGAAGAAAGTGTTCTTCATATATTTCAAGAAAGTGTTCTTGGAAATTCCCAAATTATATATATATATATATATATATATATTCCTATACGAGAAAACCGAGACATTCCTACTAGCGAAGGAAGGTAGTCGGAACCGGGCTTCATAGGGTGGATACGATTAGAGGGAAGACACTTGGATTCCTCAAGCGAGTAACCTCAATCCGTTGACGTTACAAACCGGGAACCTATTCCCACAATCCACTTCGGTTAAATTGAAGGAGTTCAAGAACTACTCGGTAAATACTATTTATTTGTATTTGTATTTACTTTATTATAACAAATCAAAATTTGTATGTGATGCATGTTTTAAAGATGACGATCAGTTAATTCGCAATTAGTATGTACGGGTGTTGTATTTATTCGATAAATACTTACTTTAAAAAATTTTAAATTCCGCTGCTTAAAGCCCGTACGGTACTATCGAACCCAACAGTGGTATCAGTGCCACGGTTATCATCTTTAAAAACAGATTTTGATTTGTTAATGTTTATGAGATAAACATAATAATTTGATTTTTTCCCACACGAGTCGTGTGAATGGGTCACACGAGTCGTGTGGTGCCACACGAGTCGTGTGAGGAGTCACACGGGTCGTGTGGTTCATCAAAATGTTTGATTTTGCTTTAAAGCAGGTCCACACGAGTCGTGTGAGTTGTCACCCGAGTCGTGTGGCTTATCAAAATGTTTGATATTGCTTTCGGCATTTTCACACGAGTCGTGTGATGTGAACACACGAGTCGTGTGAGTTCACAAGAGTCGTGTGAGTAGTCACACGAGTCGTGTGGCTTATCAAAATGTTTGATATTGTTCTCGGGTTTTTCACACGAGTCGTGTGATATTTTGACACGAGTCGTGTGGCATGACACGAGTCGTGTGACCAGTCGTGTGACCCGGTCGTGTGACTAAAACAATTTTTTTTTTATGCTTTAATTCATGTGATGAATGTTTTTAGCATATTAAGGGATGATCATGAGCCTTTTAATTCAATTTGATTGAATGTCTATATGGTTGTTTTTATTTAATGTGATTGTATGGTTGCATTTTTCAATACGATTGAATGAATGTAATTTATCGAGACCTGCGAGTCTCTTGAGATAAAATTTGTAAAATTTTAAATTTTGTATCGTTAGAGATTAGATCAAGGTGGAGACCGTTCGATGACAAAGGCCCACGCATGTGTGG